CCCCAAAACCCCAAAACCCCAAAACCCCAAAACCCCAAAGCGAGGTTAAATTATTGAAGCACCAATTAAAATTAGAATAAGTATTTGAGTTTAAAGTCTCTTATGTTTGGGGCTGGCTGAGTAAAATTTCGGAAAATTTGATATTATTTTGAAGTCTTGGCATGATATGCAAGCCTTATGTATTTAATCGGATCCTTTTTAAGTCTATGAGAGGTCAGAGCTTTAGGGACATGAATTGAAAGGGTTGTAGCTTACCATGAGATATCTTCTTGAGGAGAATATAATAGGTACTGAATCTGTCTGAGAAACTTCCTTTCATAACTATTGAGCCTTGTACATTCATAAAGGCTCAAAACCTCTGCAAAATCATTGTTCATGTACCTATATTAGGCAGGTTAATTTTAAGTGTCTGAACAGTTTAGGGAAAATTAAGTGTATTCAATATTCGGTTCTTACCATGCATCATAGATGTATTTCCCTGAGAGGTGAAATGAGGTAAATAGTAAGGGTTTCCAATTTTTATGGTTCAGGTGGACCGATCCGATACTCTACAGGGTTATTCCAAAATTTACCATTATCTTGATGAGATAGTAAAGCATCTGAGTGAACATTCCTTCATTATCTTCGACTGTTGTATGAAGTAATTTCAAAAATTGTGTAATTTGGGGAAGAGTTAGACTAGAGACCTTCTTTCAAGATTTCACTTGAACTACTTTATTACAAGAAGTGATGGGTTGGGATCGTATCTTGTAGAGATCTGTGTTATGCTTCCTAAGCGAAGGCTCATTAAATAGCTTGCTGGCTTTTATTCCTGTCTTTGACATCTAGATTAATAATTATTAGGTTGTACTTTTACGAAGACTAATTTTTACTAAGATAATGAACGTACCTTCACTCTTGAAGCAAGAATAGCCATATACAATATTGCTTCAGCAATAACTTCAAGTTTTAAGGAATAATTAGTTAAGCTTAATCAGCGTGTAGGATTAATCATACTTCTCGAGTGCAATTTCGAAGACTCTTCGTCTCCCCCAGAAGATGTCTTCATCAGTCATATCGCTTCAGAAGAGCTGAGTAGACTCTTGCCAGACTTGATTTTCTTTGGAAGGCTTCAGAATAAAGCATCATTAATATGTTCTGAATGGTTCTTCTTTTCCCTTTCATCTGGAATTTTTTTATTTTCCGTTTCATCAACCTCTTTAAATGTACGGACTGATGACTTTTGGATCAATCTATAATAAGTTAATTGATTCATGACTCAAAATCAGGTGGAATGTAAAAATAATTTAGGTGTTCTGGAAACTACTCTCACTAAAGCAACATGTAGAAGGTAGGTTACTGCTAGGCAGACTGGAGACTTCACTAACTTTGTTTAAAAACTATGGAACTTTTGGGAGTTAGTTTTAATTACATATTAGTGAAATAAGACCCTCTGGGACTTTCTTGGGAAATAATTTTATTACTTAAGGTATCACCTAGGTTTGATAAAAGGCTCTATTTTGAACTCTGTATATCTTGATAGAAGAGATAAGAGCTGGTGAAGTGTAATAATGTTTACAGTAAGTATTATGTTTAGGCTATTCATCCTGCTCGGTCTATGAGATATTGCGTTTTTAGAATACTTTTGGAGCTTCATAGAAAATTGTAGAAGGTTAAAATATTTTCTTGGCATATTGCCATGTAAGTTGAAAAAATGAAGCCTTTTCCTAGACTTGATAGTAGCTTAAATAATCCATGAGGCAATATTCATGATATCTTTATACCCAAAAAGTCGATTTTGTTAAAGAGTTCCCCAAGCCTTTTTTCAAAACATTCTCTGAAAATTTTTGATTTTGAGCTAAGAAGAGAGCTTATTATTGGATTGCGAGCATTAAGCCCTCAATGTGTTTGATTTAAAATTACAAACTTCAAATTTACATAGAATGCTATTACGGATCCGTAGGATTGTGGCTGTTATTTTTCCCTTACGGCTAGTTGGCTAAATCTCTGTTATCCTAAAACCTTCACAAAATTTGGACTATCATAATCCCTTGTAAGCCGATCTTTAAATAAGTTTCCGTTTTAAAGACTTTTGGAAGGAATTTAGTCAAGATCTATAAACTAAAACTTGGCAGAATTTGAGTGTTATTACATAGATACTCCCTCTTATGTTGACTTTGAGTGGGTCTCCGTACTTCCTCAGCTAAAATTGTTCTTCTTAAGCCAAGAATTGACTTCTTCCGGTCTTATTAATCCCAAACCTCTGTTTCAGGAGATCACAAGGATGGAAGAATAGGGAAAGATTTCAAGAATTTCGTACAGAGGGTTAAAAGAACCCTTTCTTGTTCGAGACCTTCAAGCAGATGGTTGGTTAGCTTATGTTAGTGTTGAGAAGGAGACTAGAGAATTTAGCAACATCTTGGGCAGCGGAGGTAGATTTGAGAGTAGATAAAGAAGAGAATAGAAAGCTTGCTCACCAATTGTCTATGATATACGCCTGGCTTTGGAGTATTCCTGTGTGCTGGTGGTTATTTCCTAGCATTAGAGAATTTGGATTGGATAGTTCATCCATCTCTGCATTGGTAAATGATTGTTCTAGATTAAAATAAGATAAGCTGTTAGCGGGAATTAACATACCTGCTCCCATTTGCAAACCTAATTGTATTATATATTATCAACTTAATAGCTAATAAAAGGGGTTTTGGGGTTTTGGGGTTTTGGGGTTTTGGGG